TTAGACTAAATTATCTTTTTTTATTTATATTTAATAGTTTAGAATATTCTGGAAGAAAATATTTTTCTGGAGACTCTTGAGAGAGAGAGAGAGAGAATCTGAAAATTCTGAGTCTTGCTTAGTAATACATAATTCATGCCAAATTTAGTTATGCTACAATCTTAACTCATTTCTAGTCAATTCTGATTATGCTCACTTAGTCATTCAGTCATCAAACATTTGTATGTTAAGACCTGCTAATGATATCATCTTTTCTGTTCTATCATTACTGTCAATGCACAGATATCTTTTCAAATAAGTAGTGCATGTAATAGTACATAAATATACATATTTTTTAACAATAACAAAATTGTGATTACAATGAATGAATCATTACAATTCAAATAATCAAATTAAAATAATTAAATCATTAAACATTGGATAATTTCAGGCTCCATTTTAACTAACAATTATTGAAACTTGTAATTTTGGTCTTTAGATAGATAGTTTGGTATTATTGAAATTAGTACATGATTAGCCTATTAGAACTCAGACTTCAGAACATCTGCAAATAAGCAGGGTCATGTTCATCATTTTGTTAATTTGATCATGTTAAATTTTAATTATTTTTTTATATTATCTAATACTTAATTAGCTTGTAAATTTCTAATAATATAAAAATGCAAATATTCATTATCTTAGCTTATTCATAGACAAATATTAAAACGAGTTTAATTAATGAATACTTATCATGATAGATTATCAAAACTGCTAGGTTTTTCTAGGTTAATATTTATGCTATTAATATTAAATTAAATGCTAAGAAAGCAGAAAGATAGATACTTTAATTGTTGAACTATTGCTGAAGAGTCCAAGAATATTGAAGTATCTAAAGATTGAATTTTTGATTTTTTAATGAATTATTTTATAATTATTTATAGAAAGATTGGCTCAAGTTGGTTTCAAAACTTTACAGGCATAGATATGTTAATATAACTGAATTATATAGTTATAACATCTGAGTTACAAATTAATCTCATTTTTAGTTATATAAGTAATTTGTAATCTTATAAGTTTATATTACAGTTCTATTTTCATTATGTCAATATCTGTAGATACTGTGCTGTTCTTAGCACAATATTCACAGGTCTACTTCTGCTCAGAGTTTGGATAACGTTATTGGTATGCAAAAGTTTGAGCTAATCTTTTCTCTACAAAATTCTAAAAGTTGATTAATTAAAAATTTAAATTTGTAATAATTAAATTTTGTAAGAGCGAACAATATTGCTAATCTATAGAGAAAATTTTCTTAGTATCGAATGCTATTAACAGTATAAATATTAGCTCAGAAATATTTAGTTATTTTGATAGTTTATAGCTAATAATTCTGGGTTTGTTGTCTTTGTATATTTTAACTCATTTTATTTATATTTTACACATTTTATTCTCTTTTTTTTAACATTAACATTTTAATTTTTTATTTTAATTATATTCATGTCCAAAAACTATATACTAACATTAAAATCTGATGATTTAGCTACATAAAATATTAGATACATTTAAATTTTCTTCTATTTAGTTAAATAATAATATTAAAATAAAATAACTTTCTGCTGTCATAGTTAGTTAATCTGCATGTTGCAGGAATGGTATTTGGAAAATATTGAGAGAATATATCAATATCAGAATCAGGTGATTGATTTCTATTAACAACTACTTCCTTACAGCAGAATTCTTATTAGTATGCTTTTATTGCATGCTGATTAACACTTCAATCTTGCACATGCTGAAAGTAATAGCAATGTTTCAAAATAATTATAAGAATATTTGTTTTTAAAATTTACAGATGAAATTTAATACAAAAGCAAGAACAGTTCAATATTACCTTTAGTAATTTTGGTTTAAATATGTTAAATTTCTATGAATATAGATAAAAGCTTTTTTATACAGATATTAATATTTAACATCTTTGGATCGATGCAATGTAATAAAAATTATATCAAACAGAATTCCTTAATATTAAATACTACATATTTATTTATAATTTAATTACTTGAAAGAGTCCCATTTGATATATCTAGGTTCACTTTAATTTACATTACCACAGTTTTAAATTCTAATAATTTATCATCCCAATATATTAAAACCTAGAAAATAAATTTTAGAATATTATTAATCAAAATTTCGAAATATCTTAATGTAAAAAATATTCTGTCAAAATATCATTAGCTCAGGTTTTTATGATGTCAAAATTCCTAAATTGATAATCGCAATAAATATGCTGTTTTTATTTTTATTTGGGTGTTCTTCTATTGCTGTTAAATATAATTTCATATTAAATATTTTCAAAGTAAAATTTACTTTAGTTGTCACATTGCAGGAATAATCATTTTAATATATTCATGGTATTAAAAGTAAAAGTAAACTTTAGTATGATGAATTTCCAAATACATTAAATTTACAGCAAAACATTTTAATATTGAGTACTTTCAGTCTAATTTAGACAGACCATCTTCAAGTTTTCAACATTCAAATAGAAGATAATCAATTCTGAAATACTAATTAGAAGAGAGTTTGAATAAATCCCAGTAATTTTTTTTTATAATTCTTTCCACCATAAGAATACTAAGAGGGCTTTTTCAGCAATTCTGTTATGGGTTCAGTTGTGCCTCGTAATGTGGCAGCCATGTGGTGAGGGATGTAACCCAACATATCCAGACAGACCACCTTCAAAAAAAGTTTTTGAGAGGTGGGTCTGCCTGGAAAAATTGTCCCAAAAACTTTGGGCTGTTTTTTGACCCATCCAGATTCAATCCTAGGTCCCTCGGAGCAATGCACAGACTCTAACCACTTGGCTATCTGACCATCAAATCTCAGTAATAATCAGTCATCTAGATTTTCAAAAAAATTTAGTGGCATTGAAATGTTGAATGTTCACTTCACTGCATAAGTAACATTATATCGCATCTTGAATCCTTTAAATATGTTAATAAATATATATCACATTTTATCAATAATTTCTATGAAGTAATTTGTCCTGGTTGATATGAATTATTAATTTTTGTATTTTACAATTCTTGTTATAAATTAATTTATTCTCTGTATACATTAAATAATTTCAATTTGAATCATTTTATATTTAATTTAAAATTGCATTGTCATATTTAACTTAAAATTGATTATTGAGACATTGAGCTGTCTTTTCCCTTGTAAAATTTTATTAAATTCCTTGATTTCATTTGATATTTCATTCTGTCCATATTAATTTTATATTATATTATTTTAGACTACACACATTTATTACAAACAATTTGTTTTGAGTTTTACTGAATCAAGAGAAAATCAGAAATTCTTTGAAATTAATATTTTAAATTGTAAACTTTAGTTTACAATTTAAAATATTAATTAAAGTGTAAACTGTAAATAAAACTAATTTTATTTACAGTTATTTTCTTGTTTTTTTCTTTCTGTTATTATTTTTTGTATTTAAATTTACATATTCTATTCAATGTTCTTTTTCTATCGTTAAGCCTGAGGATGGTCTATAGAGTAGGCCGAAAACATTAGTATTTTTCAATAAAACTATCTTGGCAAAAAAAGGTGTAGTGTGATAAGTTATATATATATATATATTTAATTCTTAATTTGTCAATGTCTGAAATAATTGAGATTTTATTGTTGTCATTGAAGTTCAACTTTAATAATAATTCAGCATTATAAGACTCTGGAGAACTTTTCAATTCTTAAACTGTTAACTCCCAATAATAATAAATGTTTTTTCTTTTCAATATATTAAAATTTTAATTCATATACAAACATTCTGAAACATTCAATATATTCGTAATATGCAAAACAACTGCTGAATTAAATCTGGCTATTTTCCATGATTATTTTAAATTAATCTCTAAATAATTTGTCATTAGATGCAGGTGTTAGATGCCATCTCTTATTAAATTTAATAACTATTTATAAATATTAATTTAATTATAATTAAGAGTATTCTGAAAGAAGAGAATTGGCCCAGAGAAAATTTTAGTTCAACACATTTTTATATTGTTTAAATATTAAATTTTATGTTTTGTCAAATGATGTTTAGTTAGAAATCTTTAAAACACAAATAAAATTAAAATATAAAAATGAAAAATTTTGTTGAATTATTAGTTATATCAATAAATGAATGATTTCATAATTTTGAATTGGATATAATTTTTATTGAGCTCAAGATATAGTAAGTAATACTGGTACCTCAACTGATGACCTCATAATATAGTGAAATTTTATCTTATTCATAGAAAGTAAGATATATTTAACTAAAATGATGATAAGGTAACATTGAGTGTGTTTTGCTGCAACTGAAAAAAAAATGTGGAAACTTCCATAAAACTTAAATAAAACATTCAAAATTTAAGATATGATTTGTTTTCTTTATTTTGTATTTATTTTATCCCATGTATTAATTTTCTTGAATATTAACCTTTATTATTATTATTATTATTAATTATTACTATTATTATTAGCCTACATTTATTTTTGGCAATAATAATTAATGAAAACAAAATTCTTAAAACAAACTACCAGAATATAGAAAAGGAGAGTATCATTTTCTAGCTTAATTTATTGGATTTAGGTTTATTCTCATATTTAAATTGTTTGGGCTGTCGATAATAATTACAAATTATTATTGTCATGCAGAGGGAAAATACGATCACCTTTTGCATTAAGGTAGGATTTTTTAGAGATTCTGTTGCAAATACTATAAGTAATTGATAAAAATATAGTTAAAATTGCAATTAATTAAAAAAAAATCATATAATCATACAGTGTTTTTATATATATTCAAGAATGAGTTTTTTAAAACTATTCTTGCACTTTTTTTATTTTAGTCATAAATTTTTTAATGAAAATTTTTATTTAATTAAAAGTAAAGCTTAAAACTGTTCATTATATTTATAACTAGATTTTAAAATTTTTGTACATATCACTGCAAATAATTACTAAAATCTTTCAATTTTAATTTGCAGAAGTGGATTACTGAACTTCTGTGCTGTCGCAATGTCCTTAAACAAATTAGGTTATCAAGCTATAGGAGTACGCATTGATAGTGGTGATCTTGCCTATTTATCAAAAGTTGCACGAGAGACTTTTACAAAAGTTGCAAATCAGTTAGTATAAAATTTTTTCAAAAATCATGAAATAACAGAATATAAATTGGTTTTCTACTTTAATAGTAGTTTGTTACACACACAATTTTAAATTACTGTATTTTTTGCCTTATAAAAAACACGTTTTTGTACTTGAGATTTACCTGAAAATTAGAATGTGTCCTAAGAGCTGAATGCTCTTATACTATGAAGAATATTTTTTTCCCAAACATTGAACATTAAAAACGTAACATAATTTATTTTATCCCAATTGATGCAAAATGGAGAAAGGATATATTTGCAAATGATTCAAATGAGTTTTATGCAGTTTTCAGAGGTCAATGATGTGATAAGGATGTAGAATCATCCTTATCACTTCATTTAAGAAAATCATCCAATACAATGGTGTGTCTTATAAGGTAAAAAGCATAGTATTTACAAAATATTATATATGATAAACTGTAATAAGTACCTTACCAATTAATAGTTATTACTTTATTTCTTATTCTTGGCTTGTCAGTTATAATCTCTACATGCTGACACAAGGAATTTTGATTTTCAATTATTTTTTAAATGACTGCAAATGTCTAATAGTTGAAATAATAATAATAAACGATTGCATTCACAAAATTGTTTAATGCTAAAATATATTAGAAACAAAAAACATCAAAATACAAATTTTAAATTTAAATCTAGTTTTGTGTAAATTATATTATAGAAATATTACTTCATTATAAGATGACATTTTACACATTGGCATACAAACTGCTGTTTATATTAAATATTATTATAATTAAATATAAAT